TTTTCCCTGTCCGGGTTTCTAGCTTGGGTTGTTGCCGCAGCACGGCATCTGACATTGTAGCTGGTAGGATAAGTTTTCTTTGTCATTTTTACCCTCATGTCGTTTTCACAACAAAGAAATTAAAACCCGGCGCCACTACATAACCACTTGTTGGTTTTGCGGCGACACCTTTTACAACTGTATTTCGTTTTTTCCTCATGCATGTCGTCTTTTATTTACAATGTATTTAGCAATGTATAGATGTAATGACAGCACCATGGCTTGTTGCCGTTTTCTTTTTGGTCTCCTCGTGTTTCAAGTCCGACTGTGCAGTGGTTATACTCAGAATCTACCAGCATAGAACCCACATCCAAGATACTTTGTCGTAGCTGCGTGCAGGGTTCGGGGTTTTTGCGTGAAGGTGTGTGTTTTTTTCACTGGAGTTCTGAGGCCTGAGATTTTCTTTCAGAGCCATCAGAATCGCTGAGACTGACCGCGTCACAGCAAGGTCGCGCGTCCAGTAAACAAATCGATTAAAGTGAGTTGCGTGTTTGGCATGAGTGGAAAGTCCTCACACTCGGCTACCGGTGCTTCGTGTACCGGGACGTCGAGTAGGAGGCCCGATGGTGGAGGTACCGATATTTTTCTCGGTCTCCCTTCGCTGATCGGAGGGCATCCTCACAGTCAGTTTTTTTAGGCCATGGTTTACCCGATTGAGGCTTTCCTCCTATTGGACCCATTGCGGGTCCCTTTGTGGACCCTTCCTCACACGGCGCCGGGTTTGTCTCTGAGTTGAGGGCTTTGGTCGAAGGACTGTCGGGGCAATTGCGTCCCTGGCAGGCCGGGTAGATCAGACGCAGTCGGAGCGAGCTGTCTCCACTTCGGTCACTCGGCGGGCTAGCAGGAAGAAACACGAAAGCATGTTTGCATTCAAACACGTCTCTTTCGGGGAACCCCCGTTCCCAGCCGCAGCTCTCCCACTAATTTTGGGTGAGGCCGAGGCTGAGGCTAATTGCACCAGGCCTCCTCTGGAGCCTCGGGCACTGAATGCAAACGGGGTGCTGGCAGCCAAGCATCCAATCTTGGGACAGGGCTTTCAGGGCAGGGCACACGTTGACCCCCATACTTTCAGCCAGCTAGGGTTCATCACGCGGTAATGGTACAACGGTAACGAATTTATCCTTGTGTCCGTCTCCATTGTGGGTTTTTATTCCCTTCTAACCCACGGGCGTCCCCAGAGGGAACCGACCCTGTCATGAGAAGCACAGTTGACACGCTCCCCTCTCACATATTTATTTAAAGTGAAAGGAGAC